GGGAGCCCGCTGAGAAATTTGATCTAAGCTATGTATTTTGACTGATCCCAGCAGCGGGCTCCCTGTTGTTTGCCAAATAAAGTACCTTTACCAATTTTATATGTTGTGTCATAAATGAACAGTTATAAGACCAATTGAAAAATTTAGAGTTAGTTATCGCATAACAGCATTCGTATTATCAATATTGCCAATCATTAAATTTGTTAAGTTTTGCCTTTTTGTTCAAGATTGTTAATTAATCATTTCTAGTAAATTGTCGCATTTTAAATAGATTCTGATAAAACATATTTAGTTAAATATTTGATGGTATTAGTGACAGAAATGTCTAAATAGCGAGAGAAACGGGCATTTAGAATCTATAGTATTACCATCTTAGTGTCATGACGATGTTTAATGTATTTTTACTTTTTGTTAGCCAGCAATGATAGAGAAGGAAGAGTACAACATTGTAGTATTGACTTTATAGTTCTGTTTAATCATTTGAACTTCATAATATTTCCCGCCATTAATATTATTAATATTTGACAAAAGGAATGTCATTTCTCATTAGTTCCAGGTCTTATGAATATGAACAAATTGTGACTAAAGATGATTTTGGTGAACCCAACTCAACCTTTTTTTCTTTGAAATTAATTAAAATTGTGAGCTAAAAAAATTTATATTCTACACATTACCAGCCTAAATTTGTGTTTCTATATTGTTACTAATACACATACAAATGTTTATTTAGATGAGTTTACAGTTGCTGATTTATTAGTTTATTATTAGTTTAATTATGCCATTTGCGGACCATCTTACGAGAGTCGGAATAAAATACAACTAGATTTGTGGAATCTATTTTATATAAACGTTAAATGGCCAAAACATTGACGTTTGAAAATGAGAAACTTGTGATATTCATTTAGATCTAGATTTGTTTGCGTTGTGGGTAGAGCAAGAAATTACTTTGGTATATCTAATGCATTATACCCCACTGTAATATTGAGTTGCTTAATGTAGTTCTTGTGTTATTTTTTGCTTTCTATCCCCTGCCTATTCAAGTGAATGGGAAAAACTATATAGCGTATTGAATTGATTCATTCGGTGTCATCAGTGATGCATGACCTCTAGTTTAATTGTTTATTTGCAAGTAAATTATTTGATGAGATTTCCTCTCAGATTTGACGGAAGCAAGAAAAATAATTACTTTTTTTTCACAATGATATATCTGTTATTTCGGTGACATTTACGGTCGGTGGTATTAGCCACTCGGATGTGCATAGTGGTATTGTAGAATTCCGATCTAAAACTGCTAATGCAATATTGAGATTTGTGAGTGCATTTCTGTTCCCTTGAAAAATAATGATTTCTGAAAAAAAGTAGTGCTGTTCCTCCTGTATTAGAAGCACATCTCCCATAGAAGCTCATATAAATCCCATTATTTGATTTTTTTTTTTTTTAATAGTCCTGACGAAGAAAATCTAAAATGAGGACTTGCCTTTTAGGTTCAGAGTGTCTATCTGTATGTCATTTTTTGAACATGGCGTATGCACCCATTTGAGAGTGTCTATCAATAGAAGAAAAAAGCAAAATTTGAACAAGTTATCAACCATTTTTCAGGCATTCCTGTGCTGAATTGGTTGAAACTTTGTGTGAATAGGGCTACAAATTAAACTAGCAATAAGGTAATTCTGCTATAATTAACTTGATTCCGAGATGCAACTGATTTTGTTACATCATTTTTATCTTGACAGTACTCCATCTGGTAACACACTGAGTGCAGCTGAGCATACCTGTGCCATGATCTGTGCTATGTCTAGGTAGGTGAAATTTACTAGCATTTCAATATTATGGTGAAAATTATTCCACCTGTTGATCGGTCATTAATATAGTACCTCGTGTGTCGCATCACGTTCTATCTACGACCCATGTAATGCATGTCATGCATTTTAAACGTTCATCAACACAAAATTTGAATATACACTACGTGATGGATTTTTTTTTTCTCTTACATTTTGCTATACAAGCCGATCAAAATGAATTCGTATTGTGATATCGATACTAATCTTATTCTTTATTTGGTAGTTTGCAAAAGCTTTACATATTTTTGATTTACGGACATGTGCATTCACACACAGTAAAAATCATCAAATTCAGATGATACATATTCCCATTATAATCAGGATTGTGAATTGCAGTAACTCCCATGATGCAACATTCATCCACTCGGTCAACCTAATTATTTTCGTCTTGTCACTTTATAGGAACATTCCCCAGGCACACATGTCAATGAAGTCTGGGAAATGGGACAGGAAAGCGTTCATGGGTTCCGAACTGTACGGCAAGACATTGGGTATTATAGGATTGGGAAGAATCGGTAAAGAGGTTGCACTACGAATGCAGTCGTTTGGAATGACGGTAAATATTTGTACACGAAATAGGGGAAACTGAATTTTATATGAATACCCCCTCTACTGGCAAACTCATTCTTTTCAATGTTTATGAGGAGGTACACACCTCTGAGAACTTGAATTTTTTTTAAAAATTTCCCATATAGGGATCAAAATTTTGGCATTGTTATTGAGAGCTTGTTTAAAGAACGGACCTGATTGCTATTTTATTTCATTTTAGACTATTGGTTTTGATCCCATCATTCCAGCCTCTGTATCAGCTGAATTTAACACTGAGTGGATGACATTGGATAAACTGTGGCCACTTGCTGATTACATTACAGTGCACACTCCTCTTATTCCACAGACTAAAGGTGAGCTGGTGATAGGTTGAAAGGTAGCATGTGACCAAAGTGCATTCTGCATTTTTATAGAATAATTTTATTGATATAAAATTTTCGTACAATTATTTTTTATTTTATTTTGTAGATTACAACAATTTTCTTTTTCTTCTTCTCAGGCTTACTGAATGATGAAACGTTTGGTAAATGCAAGAAAGGTGTTCATGTTCTAAATATTGCACGTGGTGGGATCATAGATGAAGATGCACTTGCCAGAGCTCTAAAGTCAGGACAGTGTGGTGGAGCTGCACTAGACGTCTTCGTAGAGGTAGGAACATAAACAATTACAAAAAAATATTTGCTGTGGGATTGATTCATCAGTGTGCTTCAGTCATTAATAACATGATTGTGGAGGTAATTTCAAACGGGAAAAGGTGCGAAACCTCGAAACAAATGCAGATGGTGCAACGATAAAGCGTATCGGGTATATCATTGTTGTTTTAGCAGATATTTGGTGATCCAGCTAATAGAAGGAATATGGTTAGATTTAATTGAGCTAGTACATATTTCACTAAAGATACGTTTGACATTTACAAAATGAAACAAATTTGATTTTGAAGTGCTGTATTAGTTCAAATAGTGAATGTTCAGCGTCCCCATAAAATAAATAAAAGCTTGAAGTGTTTAATTGGGTAGAAATGAGTTATTTGCCACGCTATAGTTGCATGCCCACTCAGTTGTACACCCACGTAGTTTGTCAATTAATGTAATTTGTATCAATGTGAAACTTACTCTACACAGATTTGATTTCTCAAGAAATTAACAGCAGATTATCGATTATGTTCTGAATCTAGAATACTGTAAAAACTGTTCAGGTTTTGTTTGTTGTTCATAATTGATGCTGATTTTTATGGTTTTGTACAGTTTTGTATCTGATGTTTTCTAGTTTTTTCAGTAAGCATAGATGAATGTCATTAACGAGCACCTTGAACGTGCAGTAAATTGCTCCCTGATTTCGTTTACCTATTATCGCTAACAAAGGCCAGACTAAACAAAAATTGGTTTTACAAAAAAAATTAAGGGTGTCTAGCAAAATGTTTTTGTTTTGTTTTTTGTTAAATCTCGCAAAGATTTTAGAAGATAAGATTTTTTTTTTCATAAATTGTATAAAAACTTCTAATTCTAAATAAATTTAAGCTGGGATCAGGAATTGCTTGTCAAAAATAGATGGAATTAAACGAGATGAGAAAATGCAATGCTGGTAAAGCTTTATCAATTAAAGTAAACTCGTCTCTTCAGATGTTTATTTCACAAAAGTGCTATCAACTGATTTTAACAAAATGTTGCCCTTTCTCAAAAAAAAAAAAAAAAAATGTTCTCTTGAATTTACATTTCTGTTTACCTGCGATTCCATTAACTAATTTAGTACCAATGTGTGGAATCATAATCAAATGTGCTACCCAGTAAAATAAATAATAATCAATGTATTCAAAATACCAACTACCCAATTTAAATAAAGATAAATTTAAAATGTCAGACAGCTATGATACAATGTTTTTTGGGGGAGTGGATAGGAAACGGGACAGTATACAACAAAAAAATGATTTAATATAATAGTGGTTTTTAAATTTTTTTAAAATTTATTTATAATTAAAGGTTATAGAGAATATTAAACCTTTATTTTACAACAATGAGTACGACGGTATAAATGTAATGATGGTCAATTCGATTTATTATTAACGTAGCCAACCGTACGGCTGATGAGATTGTGGTTTATAATTTACAAGCAAATGAGTTTGGTTTTCTTATTACATTATGCAAATTGGGAAATAGAATTTTCAGAATGAGATCTTGTGGTAAACTAGAGTACAACTCGTGTTTTAATAGTGTATCACTTTACAAAATACATTAAGGAGTCATTTTGCATGCTTTATAATACTAATGGCTTTGAAATGTGTGTGTCTTAATGTTTCTACTCTCTTATTATTGATAGAAATATAGTGTCATGTGATTTGTGTCGCTAATATGCTACATGTCAACTATATGCTTTATTATTGTAAAATTCCTCCATTGAATATTTTCTGCTTTTTCATTATTGAATTTTAATTACAAATTTTATTCAAAAATAGCCTGATTGGTATTATGTGGTCTGGGAGTTGATATTTTTATAAAAAATAAAATTTGTCAATGATGTTGTGAAATGAACATTTTCATTGCAGAAAAATTATTAATAATACTAATACTACTGTTTATATTACTAATATTACTGTTTATTTTCGTTTGAAATCAATTTTCGCCATTTTTGCTGAAGGAATGATTCAGTGAAAATAAAATCCAGCGAATATATCTTTTTTCCTATATTTTACATTCAACTTGTCAAAAATCGGTGAAAATAAACCCCATAAAAACACTCAAAATGTCTTTTCAGCGAAGATTAATTCCAGCTAAAATAAAGTATTTTACAGTATTACAATTTTTTTTTACAATCTCAATTGACTAATTCATGTGTGTATTTCATCATCTACAGAGTACTAATTGTGTACTTGTTATAGCAAGGAGACTGTTTGTACAGATAAATAAATTTAACCCTGTGTAAACTTAATTCTTGTCTAAACAGCCTTCTGTAAATCAGAAAACTACAAACAAATTTCTAAATTAACCAGTTAAATGAAGAATCTTGATCAATCATATATTTTTTTTTAGTTCCTTCCTTGTTTGATTCAGACACTGGAGTTTAACTATGGCTGTAATATTTTTTTTTTTTTTATATCTGCCAATATTTTAAAAAAAAAATTTAATTGCAGTCTGCTTACTGTCTAAGCCCAAGATAAAATTACTGTAAACCATATAAATTTTCACTGACTTGTCAAATTTACAAAAATTTGTTGAAAATTTAAGGAATTTACAATGAGGAAAGAACCCACAATTAGAAAATCTTTTCACTGAGATTTGAGTGATATTTAAATGTACGTCTACTTTAACATAATAAAGAATTTTCATTGCCAGCTTGTCAAATTTCACTCAAGAGAAACGATCAATATCCAATTATTTTATACCAGTTCATTTTAAAATGCTTGTTCTGATTGTACATAATATACAAAAAAAATTTTTTTTTCTGCTATTATCATAAACTTTACAACGCAATTTATTTACTCAATCCGGAACCATATATGCATATTTTGCTCATTACTACTTGGATTAAAAAAAAAAATGCAGGTTGTAATGTTTTAGATTGTTTATTAAATACATTTCTTTTTATGTTGCTGTACTAGGAACCACCAACGAACAGAGATCTTGTGGATCATCCCAATCTTGTTGCCACACCGCATTTAGGCGCCAGTACGGCAGAAGCACAGAAACGAGTTGCCGAGGAGATCGGCCAACAGTTTGTAGACTTGGTACAGGGAAAGAGGTTAGAAGGCGGCGTAAGTGACAACCATTAATTTAATAATTTTTAATCATGGCCTGTTGATGGGCACAAATTTCATTAAAACCACATTTTTAGGTTGCAAATCTAATTCAACATGGCTATCTGGTGGCCATTAATTTGTTTTGATTGTGTCAATGGCTTCCATGTAATTACTCAAAAACTTCTTTTTGCTGATTTGCTGTGGTGTTGATTTAATAATAATCAAGCAAAGCTCGTCTTATTACTGGTCGTTTGGTGTCAGTGTCAACTTTTTTACTTTTTTGACTAAGCGCAAATCTGATTGCTTTTATATTTAAAAAAAACCTCTCGAATTTGTTTATTTTAGTGACAATACCTTCATTTTTCTGTCATTTTTGGTAAAAAGTGATATTATCAACTTCTCTTCAAAAACTGCTTGCCCAATCATTTCAATATTTTATATGTAAGCCCCTTTAGTGGACCTCTCGGATTTGTTGATTTCATAGCAATAACTTTAATTCTCTAATTTTAGTGAATATTTATTTTCGATAAAAAGCCATTTTAAGTATTAATGTTTGTTTTGTTATACTAGGTGAATGCAATGGCTTTGAGCAATGCCTTGCAACCTGGTACACGCCCACTTGTAGCATTGGGGCAAGGATTAGGAGCTGTTGCTGCAGCATTGGCTGGCAAGATCACGAATAAAACAACGGTCAAAATCAATACATATGGTACGTTTCATTTTACATTTCATTGAAAAGACCATTTTGCATTTACTGCAAGATCCCACGTTATTTGTGAATTTGAGCGTACAAACAGGAAAAACAAACATCAGTGTTGTGACTCTGAAACATCGCGCTGGATTCAGCAAACGCTGAAGTGTTTACTGGGTATTTCAAAACTCAATAGTGTGCTTATACATATTTGATGATGGTCAGTTTTGATGAAGAAATGGTGTCTTATATACCTCCCAGAATCAAATTATTTAATTTTAGATCCGTGCCATTCACACATTATGCAAGATCTCAGAGTTAATCTAAATTTGTCAATTAAATCTACAGCTAATCTTATTCATTTGATAAAATGTATTAATCTCTCATAAATCTAACCCTTTTCCAATTTGGTAATTATAGTTTGGATATCAGTTGAGGCACTGTTATTACTTTCTGATGGAAGTGCTGTTGTACACCTGATGTCTGCTGTTATCATAATAGTAATCATTTAGTGTTGCATGTGGTCTTCTGTTCATTTTGTGCTTCTAAAATCCAAACAGTTGTGAGACGCTAAACTAAATGCTGGAATATACTGAAACAATTTGAGAATGTAACTGGCAAACCCCTGTCTTCAGGACCCCACAGTATAATGTTCACTGCTACTACATTTTACAAAAGTTTGTTTTCGTCTGAAAAGTGTAATGTAATGTGGTTTGCAATATCGTCTCTTTTTGCCATTAATAGTCAACATTATTACTGTTAAAGAGGAACCCAACAGGCAGCATTGCAATATAACTCGCTGTTTTGTAAAGGAAAATGTCTATGTTGATAGGTTAAATCTAACAGCAATAATTTGAGCACCATAAATTTTCCTCGTCCAGATTTTGGTACATTTTGCGGTTTTTGTTTGTTTTTATAATTTTGACTAAATGGATACATGTCTTATTAAATATTTTGATCAAAATATGGAAAAAATTATATCTGTATTTATGCAAATGGTGACAAAAGTTAACTTTAGTGTACAAGGGGTTAAAGTCATTATTAATGGTTTTTGAATTGAAGTGTGAAAAAATAATTCATAAATTTGAGCAAAATTAAGTCTTGGGATTTTATAAAGATTTCTCTGGCTGTTTCAATGTATTTCTATTTACTATTTGTCGGTAATTTATGAACCACAAAGTTCAGGCAAGCTTAAGTGATGTGTAAATGCATTGGTACTGATTTTTGATGCACACAGGTCCCGATCTCCAGTCGGCTGCCTCATTTCTTGGCGCTGCAGTGTCTGTTGGTTTGTTGAAAGTACAGATCGCTAATTCCCTCAACCTGGTGAATGCTCCATTCTATGCTAAAGAGATTGGTGTAAAGGTAAGACTTGTCACCAATTACTATGTTTTTTGGATGGCGTTGAAGTTTAGTTTTTGAAAAATAAACTTTTTTTCACTATTTTTGATCAAAGTACTTGTAGACAGTATTGTAATTTAGATCAAAGTTAGCAGATTACTCGAAACAAAATACCTTGTAATTTGCAAAATGTACGATAGCACCTAAATTTGAGTTGTGTTATCAGGTAAAAAATTTGATTTCGTGA